TTTACTTTACTTATAAACTTCAGTTCGTTATTACATGAGTTATCGTTTGTGAGAAAAGCAACTTTGCATCACAAGTGTAGAGACACATTACAAAACAAAACTAATTGAGACCCTGTTAAACTCAAACTTTATATATCATTTTCTTATCTGCTTATACCATAGTTTTTTGTTTTTGTTTATCATCATTTAGCAGATATTGTGCAGAATACCGCTGTCGTCAACTTCTGAATGTGAGAAACTTATTCTCTCCCCAGCTCTGCCGCCTCGTGCACTTTCAGACCCAAGGAGTCACTTATATACTGTGCCCATCTTCTTGCTGGACCCCCCCCCCCCCCGTTTTCAATCCTCCGTGGCGCTTGATCTGTCCAACAGATTGCAGCTTTCGAGACAAGATACTGATCACTAGCTAAACTTACTTGAATGTCAGATCTTTTATGAAGTTATTATTTAATAATTTAATTCTTTATCCATGATTTTCTTCATGATAAGTTTCTTGGGATAACAGTGTGGTAGTTTCCACTTGTTTTCCACATCCACATCGCTTTAGACCATGTCCTGGGTCTGTGTGTCTTTCAAACCCACCAAGACAGTACAACGAGCGACCAACACCGATACCAAAAGTGCCACTATTCGGATAAGGATCACCTGGGCACACGTCCTAAAATCTCGTTCAACCCTAAGGTTATTATACGGATCCCGACTGGGGTGGAGCTTCGAAATAAAGAAAATTGCGTCACACATTGGGACATAGTTATCGTTTGTTCTTGGCCTTCAGCAACCTTCTAGATTGCCTTGGCAAGTGAGTGTCCTGCACTGTGGATTTCACAATTCATGTCATATTATTTATAACATATTATATCCCCCCCCCCCCATTTTGCACATTATTAAGATTATAACTACCACTATTCGCTTAAACTAAGTTTACCGCTATATCCCTGGTTGTTACCTATGCATTTCCCTGGTAGTTAACGCTATATCCCTGGTAGTTACATCTATATCCCTGGTAGTTACTGCTATATCCCTGGTAGTTACTGCTATATCCCTGGTAGTTACTGCTATATCCCTGGTAGTTACTGCTATATCCCTGGTAGTTACTGCTATATCCCTGGTAGTTACTGCTATATCCCTGGTAGTTACTGCTATATCCCTGGTAGTTACTGCTATATCCCTGGTAGTTACTGCTATATCCCTGGTAGTTACCCCTATATCCCTGGTAGTTACTGCTATATCCCTGGTAGTTACCCCTATATCCCTGGTAGTTACTGCTATATCCCTGGTAGTTACATCTATATCCCTGGTAGTTACTGCTATATCCCTGGTAGTTACCCCTATATCCCTGGTAGTTACATCTATATCCCTGGTAGTTACATCTATATCCCTGGTAGTTACATCTATATCCCTGGTAGTTACATCTATATCCCTGGTAGTTACATCTATATCCCTGGTAGTTACATCTATATCCCTGGTAGTTACATCTATATCCCTGGTAGTTACCCCTATATCTCTGGTAGTTACCCCTATATCCCTGGTAGTTACTGCTATATCCCTGGTAGTTACCCCTATATCCCTGGTAGTTACATCTATATCCCTGGTAGTTACATCTATATCCCTGGTAGTTACTGCTATATGCTTGGTAGTTACTCCTATATCCCTGGTAGTTACTGCTATATCCCTGGTAGTTACTGCTATATCCCTGGTAGTTACTGCTATATCCCTGGTAGTTACCCCTATATCCCTGGTAGTTACATCTATATCCCTGGTAGTTACATCTATATCCCTGGTAGTTACATCTATATCCCTGGTAGTTACATCTATATCCCTGGTAGTTACTGCTATATGCTTGGTAGTTACCCCTATATCCCTGGTAGTTACATCTATATCCCTGGTAGTTACATCTATATCCCTGGTAGTTACTGCTATATGCTTGGTAGTTACTCCTATATCCCTGGTAGTTACCCCTATAGCCATGGTAGCTACTTCTACATCCCTGGTAGTAACTCCTATATCCCTGGTAGTTACTTCTATATCCCTGGTAGTTACCCCTATATCCCTGGTAGTAACTCTTATATCCTTGGTAGTTACAACTATATCCCTGGTAGTAACTCCTATATCCTTGGTAGTTACTCCTATATCCCTGGTAGTAACTCTTATATCCTTGGTAGTTACAACTATATCCCTGGTAGTAACTCCTATATCCTTGGTAGTTACCCTCATATCCCTTGTAGTTACCCCTATATCCCTGGTAGTAACTCCTATATCCCTGGTAGTTACTCCTATATCCCTGGTAGTAACTCCTATATCCCTGGTAGTAACTCTTATATCCTTGGTAGTTACAACTATATCCCTGGTAGTAACTCCTATATCCTTGGTAGTTACCCTCATATCCCTTGTAGTTACCCCTATATCCCTTGTAGTAACTCGTATATCCTTGGTAGTTACACCTATATCCCTGGTAGTTACTCCTTTATCCCTATTTAGTTACTCCTACAGAACGCTACACCTAGCTTGCTTACCAGTATATCTTAAGTCGGAACCTTATTGAGAAAACTGCCCTGAGCTATAGGTGAGTGACCATTTCAGTTACCTCTACCACCTAGGCTAGACAAGGACAGATTACAGGTGAGTGACCATTTCAGTTACCTCTACAGCCTAGGCTAGACAAGGACAGACTACAAGTGAGTGACTGTTTCAGTTACCTCTACAACCTAGGCTAGACAAGGACAGACTACAGGTGAGTGACTGTTTCAGTTACCTCTACAACCTAGGTTAGACAAGGACAGACTACATGTGAGGGACTTTCAGTTACCTCTACAACCTAGGCTAGACAAGGACAGACTACAGGTGAGGGTCTTTCAGTTACTTCTACAGCCTAGGCTAGGCAAGGACAGACTACAGGTGAGGGACTTTCAGTTACCTCTACAGCCTAGGCTAGGCAAGGACAGACTACAGGTGAGTGACCATTTCAGTTACCTCTACAACCTAGGCTAGACAAGGACAGACTACAGGTGAGTGACCATTTCAGTTACCTCTACAACCTAGGCTAGACAAGGACAGACTACAGGTGAGTGACTTTCAGTTACCTCTACAGTCCAGGCTAGACAAGGACAAACTACAGGTGAGTGACTTTCAGTTACCTCTACAGTCTAGGCTAGACAAGGACAGACTACAGGTGAGTGACTTTCAGTTACCTCTACAGTCTAGGCTAGACAAGGACAGACTACAGGTGAGTGACTTTCAGTTACCTCAACAGCCTAGGCTAGACAAGGACAGACAACAGTTGAGTGACTTTCAGTTACCTCTACAGTCTAGGCTAGACAAGGACAGACTACAGGTGAGTGACTTTCAGTTACCTCTACAACCTAGGCTAGACAAGGACAGATTACAGGTGAGTGACTTTCAGTTACCTCTACTACCTAGGCTAGACAAGGACAGACTACAGGTGAGTGACTTTCAGTTACCTCTACTACCTAGGCTAGACAAGGATAGACTTCAGGTGGGTGACTGTTTCAGTTACCTCTACTACCTAGGCTAGACAAGGACAGACTACAGGTGAGTGACTTTCAGTTACCTCTACAGCCTAGGCTAGACAAGGACAGACTACAGGTGGGTGACTGTTTCAGTTACCTCTACTAGCTAGGCTAGACAAGGTCAGACTACAGGTGGGTGACTGTTTCAGTTACCTCTACTACCTAGGCTAGACAAGGTCAGACTACAGGTGAGTGACTTTTTCAGTTACCTCTACAGCCTAGGCTAGACAATGACAGACTACAGATGAGTGATTCTGTTACCTTTACAACCTAGGCTAGACAAGAACAGACTACAAGTGAGTGACTTTCAGTTACCTCTACAGCCTAGACTAGACAAGGACAGACTACATGTAGGGACTTTCAGTTACCCCTACAACCTTGGCTAGACAAGGACAGACTACAGGTGAGTGACTTTCAGTTACCTCTACAACCTAGGCTAAATGACATTTTTGACTAAATCTAACCACTTTTTTTCTGGTAAACAAGGGGGACATTTGCAATGAGCTGATAAACAGACTGGGACACAAGTATTTTCAGTGTTTGTGGTCTTCTCTTCAGTTAAATTTTTTTGGTTAAATCTTCTTGTCACACACAGACTCATTTTCAGTTGGACACCATAATGTCACTGCCATGTTATGCAATAGTTCTAATTTTCCATTATCTTCACTAAACTCTCTCTCTCCCCCCCCCCTCTCTGTGTCTCTCTTTCTTTGCAGAATCAGGAATCTATTTTGCTGAACTTTCTCATTTCAATGAACATCAACAAATTATAGAGCAACACATGAGGTAAAGATACATAGTTTAATCATTGACATATTCTTTGAGTTTTGGTATTTTGACTGTGTCAACAACTGTATACAAAAGACATGAACTTTAGTAAGTCTAAATTACAAACAGGATAGAATATTGTCATTTCTTGTAAAGAAAAAAAAAAATACCTTAAAATACTGATTTGAAGTGATTTATCGTATGTGTCTTAAAGTAATGACCAGTTTTCTACACACTGGGGATCAATTTAACACACATTATGTAAATACAAGGAAACTTTCCCAAGGTTGAAGAAAAGTTTTAAACAAGGCATTGTCTGACTGATCATCTAATACAGCTTCTCGTACATAAAATTTATTTTATTTTAATTTACAACATTTCAACTGCATCCTTTTAATAAATCTAAAATGGAAAAATTCAAATTTGTTTTGTTTCTGTCATTTGTTGTGATATAGGCTTTGGAGACAAAGGTCAAATTTGTCTGATATTAAAAATATAAATAAGTTAAAAATAAACAACTTACTACACAAGTTTACTTTCTTTTAAAAAAAAATAATTTAGGCAATATTAAATAAAATATTTACAGCCAAACTAAAACCATGTGGGGATAAAACAGAGTAATCTCACTCTGACACTGGTAACAAAGAAAACATTTCAGATATAACATATTCTGGTGCAAGACATGTTGAGACAGGGTGTGCAGAGTCACCAGTCCCATATCTCAAGCCACGACATCATGAATCGGTTCACAAACAATCAACTGAAATACTTCAGGTATGGAGCCGGACTTTTTTTTCTTGAAAAATGACCTTAGCTCCCAGGTCGACCCAGCCTTGAGTGGGTACCTGGTGTAGTTGCAGGAAGTAAAGGCGGCCGGCATGATGCTGACCACATCATCCACCTTGTACCGATTGGTCTATAAAATATGGTGGCTTTTCAGCATGCCAGGAAGAAAACCTATACTGCTACACAATGATGATCTAGTACAGATTTTAGGAAACTCATCCAATCTCAGGTGTTGAACCTGTCCTGGCAGGCCGGTCAAATGTATGGAGTATACTTGGGCTATTTGCAAATGTCTCTACGACAAACCACAAGAAATAAATAAATACTTCAGTATTCAACAAAGATTATCAAGTTAGCTGGTCATCATTCACTTGCAACTGGCATAGCTGCAATCAATCGCCTGTGTAATTAATTTTAAACCTTTTTAATTTAAAAACAAACAAAAGCCTTCATGGCAGCTGTGTTCGTGGGGAAGAATAAGTTAGAATGTAAAATGTAAGCCTAACTGGCTAAATCTGACACACATGGATAAATAATAAAATAAATAAATATGAGACCCACTTGCCAATTTGCATTTTCACATAGTTAATGTGAAGAACCGGTTTAAATAAAGAACATTTCGGTTAACACACAGTCCGCACAACATACATCTACTGACTACTACATGTCCATACAACATACAAGATACAAACTATTTCATGTCTGCGGAACATACAAGATACAAACTATTACATAACTACACAACATTCAAGATACAAACAGTTACGTGGCTAAACAACATAGAGGCTACAGACGTCTGTGTATGGTAGCCATAATATCTGGCTATGGTTACAGGATAGATGTATGTTTAGGTACGAGATAAGCAGCACGTCTGTTAAAGGAGATACAACTCCACATATATGTCTGTTGTATGTTAGTGATGATTTGAGTTTAAATGAAGACATAAGCTATGAAATATTCACATATACTCAGTTTTTGTCCTCTCTGATTTACGTGGGGTATGATCAGCTCAACTCTTTTAGTACCAGAAGAAGGTTTTGTGGGAGAAGCCAATAAAAAAGTGTCCATGATTAACATTCGTCAATGCATTACTTTCAAAACAGAAATATAACACTGGTAGTGACTACTGGACAAGCCAGATTTCTTGAGGGCATTCTGATCAATAACTGAAAGTAAGAGAATATATTAAGTTACAGATGGAATCCAGTGGATGGCGTGCTTCCCACATTATGAGTTGTGTGGGACTCAAAGAGTTACGTAGAAGTAGGGCCCCATGTGGGTTCTGGGGCCTCAATATGGGGGACGGAGAAAAAACCGACCCACTGCCCCCAACAAGCATGTCATAGGAGTCAACTAATTAGGGATCTTTCCTTTACTGTCGGAGTGTATCTGACTGAGAGTTAAGGAACCAACAGTCTGCATGCAAATAAGCCAGGTCTGTAAAATGGTTGTGCATGCAAAGCTCAGGTGCTGGAATAAACTAAAGCCCACAAGTAGTGGAACAGCCAGAACTTATTGCTGAAGTCTACAGCCGATGAATGTGAGGGAGAACAAGAACATTACAGGCAGGCATCCTTTGATGCAACTAGCAGTTGAGGGCAACAGGCCTTCATAGAGACACCAAAACAGGAGTGGCAGAACAGCCTGGAGGTATCTCACTGTGACTTTATTTAATTCTGTCTGAGGTCTGTCTGCCTCTTTGTTTCTCAGGACTGCTATTTGAAGGTTGACACCACCCCTGGGACTCTGAGAATCTCATCCTGGATGTCAAACAAGCAGGACAAATCTCAGATCTCTTGTTTAACCTCCAAAGATGTTATAATTGGGGCACCCATAACGGCCACACATCTGCAGCCCTGTCGGGGCAGCAGTAAGTCTCGGTGTGATGTGTCCAAGCAAGTCAGCAGAGCTGCTATTAATTATGATTCATTGTTGGAATGTCAGAGAAACCAGGTCAGACAGAAGATGCTGCACAGAACATGTCATGAAGAACATGTCACACAGTACATGCCAGATAGCACATGTCAGACACTGACACAATGCTGGCACTGTGACAGATGTTCACTTTCATTTGTCAGTACCAGAATGTGTTACTTTCAGTTTACACAATTTCAAGAATGAGAGTGACATCTATTTCTAGAAATAACACTGAAGTAACATTTTGTAGTAAATTACTGGATCATTGCAAAACATGCAGGATTATACAGCTTCAACAGGCGGAGCGTACTCACACAGAATCTTTTTCTCCTTTGAATCTTTTTGTCGAGATAAATAAACAACCACCATAAAAGTGACAATAGCAGCAAGGGCCAGGAAGACAAACAAACAAATTGTCACAAATTTCCATTCAAAATCTGTAAATTCAGAAGTGCTTTTAGTGCTATCCTGGCTGGACACTCCGAGTTTGTGTTTGGTGTGGGCTGTCTGAGAAGCCTGGTCAGTACCTCTGTGGTTGTTGCCTGTTTCATTCGCTGGAGGTGATTGTGCATTTGATTGGTAGAGAGGACCACACCAGGTGTCGTGTAGGCCATGGCACTCGGTGATGATGATTTTGTTGGCCGGACACTGTGAGCAAGCAAGGCACTGGTCCTGGAATCAAAGAAACAGAAAACACTTAGAGCCTGCAGTTAAAGTACATTAGAAAAAATGAGAAGGTATGATATCATGATCTGGAAATCACAGATCAGAGGTTATTATGACCCCACAGAACAATATCATGATACACTGACATCAACAACCTCATGATACACTGACATCAACAACCTCATGATACACTGACATCACCAACCTCATGATACACTTGACATCACCAAAGTCATGACACACTGACATCACCAATCTCATGATACACTGACATCACCAACCTCATGATACACTGACATTGCCAACCTCATGATACACTGACATCCCCAACCTCATGATACACTGACATCCCCAACCTCATGATACACTGACATCCCCAACCTCATGATACACTGACATCCCCAACCTCATGATACACTGACATCCCCAACCTCATGATATACTGACATCCCTAACCTCATGATATACTGACATCCTCAACTACATGATATACTGACATCTCCAACATCATGATACACTGACATTGCCAACCTCATGATACACTGACATCCCCAACCTCATGATACACTGACATCCCCAACCTCATGATATACTGACATCCCTAACCTCATGATATACTGACATCCTCAACTACATGATATACTGACATCTCCAACATCATGATACACTGACAATGCCAACCTCAAGATTCACTGACATCCCCAACCTCATCATAAACTGACATTACACTCCTATCACCAATTGCATACCTTATTACACCACCTTACAATACCAGAGGCACTGAACATACAGAGATTGCAAGATGAAGCAATCATCGCCAGTAAGAATGACAAGGTGCAAGCTCACCTGTTTCTTGCTGTAGAAAGTGTTTGGTGGACACAAAACTGGCCACATGTCATCCCCATCTGTCTCTGCATCCAGGACAACATATCCTTGACATGTCATCCACCACATGGATGCCATCACTAGCAGAGCAACACAGTTGGTGGCAATCTTTGGCAACATCTCACCAGAAATCTGGCAGATGGAACTCTTCCTGTGAAACACAAACAAGCATGAACAACTGAACTCTTTTGGAGGAAACGTTTGTGTATTCTTTACAGGTAAACTAGCATTTTGGGTCTGCTTTTGTGATTTTACTAGAGAGTTTTACCTTCAGTAGTTTGAATGGTTAGATACCGGGAAGGCTAACCCGGTCAACAAATGCCCGCAAAAGTCGGATTTGTTGGTCGATAGGTGCAAATATCGCAGCCATGCTTTAAACGGACACGACGCAATTACATCTTCGGATGAACGCAGAAGAAGAAGAGGAATGGTGAGATATCTATGTGAAAAGCAAAGTAAAATGGTCTGCAGCCAAACTGTTTGCAGCTGAATTGAACCAGGGTTTAGTCCACAGAATTGGAAATTATAGCAGTTTTGGTTAGAAATAGGCAACTAGGATACTGTTGATTTCTCTTGGACGGCATTGTTTTCTTCTTCTTCTTCTGTTCTCTACTCCTGTAATGCATCAGGGCAGGAAGAGATCTGATGAATGGGCCCTTCTTTTCACTTTGTGTCATGGGCTGAATTCCCAGGGAAATCCCAGAGTGTTCCCAATTGAGGGGACAAGATCAAATGGCCAGGGAAACAAGAGAAAAGTGAGGTTTGGACAGAGAAAGGATAGGAAATCAGTTGATGTTTGGACGTGTATGTGTGTGGTCGAGTACAGAGGAACGACTGTGAAGAATGCGGACTGCCAGATCATATGTGGTTGTCTGGGATGCTAAGAGACATGGCAGGGTCGATGTGAATAAATGCCAACTGACTGCAAGATTCGTCTGTGTGGAATTGCAAATGCAAGATGCTGGCCTAAACAAGATATAAAGCCAGAAAGGTAATCACATCTAGATTCAAGCTGTGATGTGTTTAAAACAGTATGTATAACTGGACAAGCGTATCATCAACGAGAATACAGACAGTGACCGGACAGTACAGCTATTGGATCTGCGAATAAAATCGATAATTGCCGATGGGCGTGTTTGTCGTCTGATGTGTTCATACTAACTTTATATAACAAAGAACGAAAGTAAACAAAGAACGAAAGTAGAGTAATAGGATGAGCTCAGACAAACCCTAGAAGGAGCCACATTGCACTTTGGATAAAGTACTTTTCAGGGTCTGTTATATTTCTATGGTGAATATTTTGCGTGGTCAACCTTTGGATCTATAGCTACTCAAGAAATTACCACTGTATCTGTATAGCATTACTCTCTGGGGTACCATGTCTGATGCCAATCTTGTTGCATGGCCAAACCATTTGATTTGTAGTCTACCTATAAAATTCAGTTTTGGTTCTGTGCCGACTCTATTCCTGATATCATTGTTCCTAAGTCGATCTTTCCTCGTTACATTTTATTTCTAGTGTGACTATTTTCCTCCTGTCTTCTGAAGACAGTGCCCATGTTTGACATTGAAAGCATACGCTGGTAAGAATATTGTGTTAAACAGTGTTCTTTTAATGTTCATATTCACATGCTTACATTTCAAAACTGGTTTTCTTCGTCTACTTATTTCCAATTTCCGTGCCGGAAAATGAGATCTGCAAAACTGATGCACACACAACACTCAGGTTCTGGAGCAGGACTGCAGTTCAGTAGTGGACGAGCAACCAGAACTTTCCGCCAGAGTGTACAGCTGGTGAACGCGAAAAAGAAGAGGAAGACCCACCCTCAACCAAACCCTCCTCACAACCCAGCCAGAAACTGGCTAGTGTTCGAACCCCCCCCCCCCTCTTCCCTAGTTAGGTCAGAAAACATTGGGGGATCCCTAAGCTAAGCCTCCTCCCCACCATACACATTTCTAGACAAATAATTTTGAGAGGAAAAGAAAAAAGAGGGGGGGGGGTGCTGATCAGGTCACTGAGTGCCTGCAGTAATCTACTGAGTGCCTGCAGTAATCTACTGAGTGCCTGCAGTAATCTACTAAGTGCCTGGAGTAATCTACTGAGCGCCTGGAGTAATTTACTGAGTGCTTGCTGTAATCTACTGAGTGACTAGAGTAATCTACTGAGTGCCTGCAGTAATCTACTGAGTGACTGCAGTAATCTACTGAGTGACTGCAGTAATCTACTGAGTGCCTGCAGTAATCTACTGAGTGCCTGCAGTAATCTACTGAGTGCCTGCAGTAATCTACTAAGTGCCTGGAGTAATCTACCGAGTGACTGCAGTAGTCTAATAATTTTTTAAAGGGCTTATATGGTTCTCCCTTTAACCATTGATAGAATTGCTTTAACTGAGTACTAGGAAATTACTAGGAAATAAAGGCGATAGAGGTGCCTGTGACCACCTACTCCAGTTAGCACAATTTATGTCGACTGATCTATAACATATGTTATATGATTATGTATATGTCTTAAGCGCCACTTGCGTGAAAACTGTATTTTATAGTGTCAATGACGTTTCGGAAAACGACAATAATCAACAACGAATATTTAGCGGTAACATACTAGTCATCGAGACAGCCCCTGCACCAAATCTTCACGTTCGCTAAGAGTTGAAATATTCAAGCTAACAAACAACTTACCAGCTGAATCGGTTTCGTTTCTAACTGCCCAGCTTCTCTCAAATTCAACAAGAAGAGTTAGTTAACGATGTATACAGCAATCACTATCCTTGTGAGACGTATATTTCCACAAATCAAAGGTGGTGAAGAATCACAAGTACAACTTGTCAAAGTCACAGTCCTTAAAATAAAATGTCTGTTTCTGTTAACTTTAAGACAACTTTTTCTAGAAATCAGACAATTAAGAAAACTTCTTAACAAAGTTGTTGTCTCTACAAACTTTGGTAGTAAACTGTTTCCACGTTCTGGCCACACAGAAACCTGGCTACAAAATTGTTGACACGAGCAACCAATCAGGACAGTCCTATTGACAGAGCCAACCAATCACAGCTCTAGGACCCCACACTGTTTGACCAGGCCGAGTTGCCGGGGTCACAGAGCCAGGTCACGGTTCCATTGATAAGACCTGAGCAAGTCCGAACTTGAACCGCCGGAAACTCACAAAGTGGGAAGATTCCCCCGTCTCTGTGCCCTCGAAGCTCCGTTTGAGGCTGTCGACTTTATTATTCCGAGAGATAAGAGTTTTGATAGCTAGGCCGTTATCGGCAGACGGGGCGGAAACAGGGTCTGATATTGTAGCAAGACAGACAGAGACGATAAGATAGATGCCCGGCTACAGAGAGACTTGGAAACATTCAAGAGCTTGTAGGGACATAAAGATGCAGGATTGAGCCGTACCGTACCCCACGCCTAGATACTCTGTCTCTGATCCCTTGATAGCTGTCCCATTCACGTCTACATTAGGTGCTCGCGCGTTGTGCGTGCCGAGTTGTTAAATGAGTTTACGAATAGCTGTCCGAGTCACTAGAAAGTTGGCAGCTGGTGCGTGTGGCCCAGAATCGAATCATCTGTATCGTGGTGATCATTTTCCTCAGTCGGGAAAAAATGTGGAAAAAAAAGGGGGGGGGGGGGGGGGAGGATGTTTATAAAAACTATACCTTGCCAACACAGTTCATGTCAACAGCACTAGCCACATGGATTTAAATCCTTAAATCCTACCTTCCTCACATCCTTCCTTCAATCCTTAAGTCCTTCTTTACCTTGTTAACCCTCCCCTCCTGTCCTAATTTCTTCATTTCTTAAATGTCTTAATTTCTTCCTTTCTAAAATCTTAATTTTCTTCGTTAACCCCTCCTTCCTTCATTATTTCTTACTTCCTTAAATGCTTCCACCCATCATTAAATCCTTCCTTTCTTTGTTAAACCCTCCCTTCGTCTCCTATTTTTTTTTCCTACAGTCCATCCTTCCTTCCATTCATCCTTAAATCTTTCCTGCCACCCTTTTCCTCCCATCATTAAATCCTTCCATCCTTCCTTAAATCCTTACATCCTTAAATCCTCCCATCCACCAATCCTTCTATCCTAGATTGCATACACACTGTACGCCCCTGTTTCCTCTTCTTCTCTAGGGGCTGAGTGGTCCTGAGGCATGGCGTCCGCTTCCAGTGCTGAAGGTTTTGGTTAAGACCCTAGTGAAGGCTGAAATTTTGTCAAGTGGATTTCCAGTAATTTTTCCTGGTCACTGGGTAGTGAGACAAACGCCAGTGTGTATTGTCGCGCAAGTTTAAAAAAAAGTCCCTTGGCAGTTGGAAATCAAAACGAGTGCTGCCCGGACAAAGTTTGGTGTAGAAAATCTACCCAAAGTATCTTAGGATCTTTGCCGGTTCTACGGAGCTCGTGGACTGCGCAGAGATTCTTCAAGTAGAAAGGAGCAATTTTGGGTAGTAACCCTTGTGCCATGACGCTGATCCGTTGTTTAAACCGAAACCTATCATTTTCTACCCTAGACTGTACAAACACTGTACGCCCATGTTTTCTTTCCTAAACTAGACTGTACAAACACTGTACGCCCATGATTCCTTTCCTACCCTAGACTGTACAAACACTGTACGCCCATGATTCCTTTCCTACCCTAGACTGTACAAACACTGTACGCCCATGATTCCTTTCCTACCCTAGACTGTACAAACACTGTACGCCCATGATTCCTTTCCTACCCTAGACTGTATAAACACTGTACGTCCATGATTCCTTTCCTACCCTAGACTGTATAAACACTGTACGCCCATGATTCCTTTCCTACCCTAGACTGTATAAACACTGTACGCCCATGATTCCTTTCCTATCCTAGACTGTACAAACACTGTACGCCCATGATTCCTTTCCTACCCTAGACTGTGTAGTCACCGGAGGCGAGGCCCTTATTTACGGGGATGGTTTTCTCAAGAGAACCCGAATAACTGATCTGGTCCTGTGTACGGCCGCCAGTCTCTGTTCCCATCTATGTACGTACCCGGGTAGAGGAAGTGCTGTACCCATTTGACCTATCTCCATTGGTAAGTTCTTCGTCAACAAAGACAAATGATAGGATTTGTATCAAAATTAAAATCATGTACTTGAAGT